CTCCTAAGTGCCTGGCTTCGGATCACCATTGTGACCACTCGGGGAGTGAACCAGCAGATGAAAGATCTGTCTCTTTTTCTCTCTGTAAATCCGACTTTCCCACAAAAATAAAAATAAATCTTAAAAGAAATCGGCTCCTTTTAAAGAAAATAATCCTATCAAGCTTTTCGGTGGTGGTAACAGACAAAAACACTGTGGCACCTGCAACACCAGGATCCCATACAAACGCTGGTTTGAGTCCCAGGTGCTCCATCTCCAATTCAGCTCCTTGCTAGCGCACCAGGGAAAGCAGGACAAGGTGTCCTAAGGGCTTGCGTTCCAGCCACCCACGTCAGAGTCTCAGATGCAGCTTCTGGCTTCAACTTGGTCCAGTCCCAACCACTATGACCATCTGGGGGAGTGAACCAGCAGATGGAAGAACCCTATTTTAGGCTTCTGCCTTTCAAATGAACAAATCTTAAAACACACACACAACAAAAACCCTGCAACCCAAAGGGGAACAAGAAACATCCTGCCAGGGAGGAAAAACAAAGTAGATTTGGAAATGACTGACAGATTCATTCCCTGTCTGGTCAAGCTGTTTGACCCCCAACATCATTTCCGGTGGGAATAAGAAACCTACATTCCACCAGCCTGTGGGGGGTATATGCAGATAACATCCTACCAGCACATCAGATCACCTGGGAAGCTTTAAAAACTGAAAATCCCAGATGTACCAGACAGACCCCGGGGAGGGGAGGGGCCATGGAAGCACATCCTGGGGAGGAAAAGGCTCTGGCCACGTTTGCCCTTCCTAATGCATTGTTCAGGATCTGCCACATAGAACACTAGTAAGACGTATAACAAAAAGCTAGCTTTCCAATCTTTATATTCCAAAAATGTTCAAAAACGACTTAAATTAAGAACACAAAAGACTTCACGATGCTTATCTAAGAAAAATCACCTTAACAAAATTATCAATTCTACCTGATACAAAGTATCAGAACCCTTTTCTATCTGAATGCACCTACATGGTTTACTTTCCAATACACGCCATAAATCAAGGCACAATCTACTAAATTTAATTAAGCCTTAAGGTAATCTAGTTTATCTCACAAAAAAACAACCCAAGAAAATTAAATTGCAGGCAATTTAGGATTCTCCCAACTAGCCCCTCTATAGCAACTACAATTTCTGTATAAAGATTGACTTCTACTGCTTGTCACATAGAAAATATTATCTTCTTTTCACGGTCCATTGTAGGACTATTTAAAGAGTAATTGCTACACATCAGCTTCAGCACGTAGTACGTGCTATTTTAATAAAACTTAGGTACATACTAAACATTTTGGAAGTGTGTTTACAGTGAGGTTTCCTTGGATGATACAACTTCAGGACACGTTTCATTTACTATTGTTTGTTCTCTACAATGGCTATGCTCCACTTATATACATAAAAGAAAACACAAAAGCTTGAGACTTTAGTAAGGGTAAACGACAAAGAATTTGGACAAAGTCGCGATGATTTCCCAAAGTCAAACAGTATCAGATGCGAATCCTACAATTGGGGAAAACAATTAACCTTTCACCTACCGCTGCCAATAGTTTAAAAGCTCTTTGGCATAAAAATCAACCGCAATTTCGACTGATAAAAGACATTACGCAATCAACTGACAAACTGGAATACAGACAATTTTTAACTCAAGCATTGAGTACATGTTAGATTTCTTTAAGCTGATGAAGTAAGGGAATGTCTCGGGTTCTTAGGAAATAACTCTCAAGTTCACTGGGAGCAAAAGGGATCAGTCTACTGCGCATTTGCAAGCACTTCAGCAAAATACCCTCAGAAACGGATAAAGCTTAGCAGGGGCAATATTAACAATCTGGGCAAAGGGCACAAGAATTGTCATTACAACTGTCGTAGTTTTTGAGCTTGACTATTCCTACACAACAACAAAAAAAAGTTAACTGAATAAAGTAACAAAAGATTAACATCTTTAAAAGTGCCTTGACAAAACAAGATCACTCTAGCTCAACTTCAAAGCAAGGGAAAATATGGGGAAAATATGGAAACATTCAAAATTGATGCTATAAAAGCGTATGTATAATCAACTTCAAGCAAGCCTTCAAATCAACACTACCCAACAGGAACAGAATGCGAGTCACACGTTGCATTCAATTTTCTAGCAGCCACCCTTCAAAGAAGCAGAGGGACATTAGTGTTAGGACACTGTACCTGGCCGAATGTCTGAAATCCTGCCACCGCAAGGGCAGCATTATAAAAATCAACATATTACAAGTATATCCATACAAATCTTCAAGAGGTCGGTGTGAGGTGTACACTAACAGTACACCTCAATTGAGAAGCTAAATTTTCAGAGGAAATCTTTGATTCGCATTTAGATTCCATAAATGTACAATTAAAAAAGGGACATTCACACAACCAAGTTGTTTTATGATTAAAAGACTTCTAAATATTCAATCAGTTTTTAAATGCAAATTTCAAAAACGTAAGATGGAAAACTCATTTCTCAGTCAAACTGCAAGCTTAACACGTTCACAGGGCACAGTCCAGCTTGCAATGGAAAACAGCCAATGCCTAACCCAAAAGACGGAACTGACTGAGAAAACAATTCACTAAGCTTAGCAAGGTTTTTTTTTTTTTTAGCACACTTACAAAGAAACAGAGATGGATTCGCCAACAGAAGTATTACCAAAGCATCTCTCCAAAGCCGTTAGAAGCCCCCACACTGCCTTTTAGAAGTGCACACGCACAGCCTTCTCTCCTGCCTGGTTGTCGCGTTTTAACTGGGGGCTGGGTTTCCTCTTACTTTCACGCGTGGCGGAATGAACTCCAGCTCTGGCCAACGACACCCACCCAACCAACAACCGACCCCGCAGGGTCTGGGAATTTCACAGCACACGTCGGGCCGTCTGATTGCCAGAACGCGCACACACTGACAACTTGTCTGGGATTTAAGGGAGGAAGTGACCTTAACAGAGGTGGGGGCGTTTAACAGGTGTAAGAGATTAATTTAGTCAACAGCAAGCAACACTAAAAATTCGCCAATCACTAACTCCATGCCAGCGTGCCAGGCAACTTGATCCGGGATTTGGCCAGAAGCCCTCTGGCTAATCTCAATCAGGGCCTACCCAAAGACATCCCGATTTAGGCCATTCTCATCTACATTGAGGCTTCTGTGGCACTCGACAGCAAATAAACCAAATCAAATTCAACACAGAAAGAGAACTGTAACAACTTGACTGAACGCAAAACAAAAAGCTTAAATGAGCATTTATTAGGTGTGGACAAAAATAGAGCGACAAGGAACAGAAGTTACCATAAAAGCATTTAAAAACCATTTTGTGGATAGGCGGAATTCCTACTTTGTCTTCAGCTCCTGTGCTCAACGTGATGGCTGACCATCAAATGTCACCCCCATCCCATCCTGTCTTCTCCGGCGACAGCAGCACAGAAGCTTCTGCTTCAATCTTAGAGAAAACCCTCTTCGCCGCTGAAGAAGCCTTTCTTAGCAACTCGGGGCCTGAAGAAATCTTCAACAATCAGGAACAATGGCCCCCTACACCTTGCTGCACCAGGTAGGTCTCACCGTTGGCAGAAAACCCGTTTTTTCCTCCTAGCCCACACACCCAACTTGTTTTCAAAGCCACCCCTTACCAGGATCACGGATCAAAAGCCTGTGTACCTAACCAGTAACTTTCTATTGAACGCTGAAGTCCTTTTTTCCTCTTCAGGCAGGGGTCAGTAAGCTTTAAGAAGGATGAATACGACATTTTCAGTCGCGCCCTCAGAGCGGTTTTTCCCCCCCTCTGCTTAGTAAGATGTATTTGACCCAGAGAACCAACTAAACATCCTGCAGCAGCGAATGCCTACTTCCTTCGGCTTTTTCCTAGTTAGTAAGCGCTCAGTCAATGCCTATTCATTCAATCAAACCCAGTCTCGGCTTTGTGATTAGCTAAGTACTCAGAAACCCCAACTGTAGTGCCTTGAAAAAAAAACAAACAACAAAAAAACAGCGAACGGAGATAAGAAATTAACTACGTCAAAGACACACATTCCGGTTCCACAGCTCAAGCACTATTTGGAGACGGGAATAAAAATAAAGCTCACAGCAGCCCTACCTCCTCGCCTCCTGCAGCGACCTGAACTCCCGCCAAGCACCCCGGGGGCCAGGCCACGCACCCACCTGGCCGCACCAGGATGCGCGTGGGGCTCCCTGGGGACCCGACCACGGAGATCCCGCCGCCGAAAGTACGATTTAAGGGAGTTCCTACAACGCATTCTAACTCGCCAGAAATCCCCGAAAAAAAAAAAAAAACACAAAAAAACCACAGGTCATGCGCACTCCAGAGGGCTTTTCCTCTACTTTTCTTCTGCTGGGGGTGGGGTGGGGGGGAGCCGTATTTAAGAATCCTTGTCCGATGCCTGCAGAGCGAGCGCCAGTGGCAGGCAGCAGGCTCCCCGCGTGGGCGCGTTCCCACCCGGCTCGGAGCCGCATCCCCAAAGGCAAGGGCACCTGGTCGTCCGAGGCTGCGCCCGCCGCCGCACCAGACAGCCAAAGGGGGGTGTCTCCATGCGGCCGCCCCCCAACACACACACACTCTTCACACCCCCCGGAGCCGCACCGAGGTCCGAGCCGCGGGGCCGCAGAGCGCACGGCTGAGTCTCGCTTTGTCCCCGGGGGAGAGGGCAAGGCGAGCGGCAGGTCGGCGCGGGGTCCCCGGGGGATGTGGCGGCGCCGCGCGGGAGGAGAGCTGAGGTTGGCTCGCCGCCCCCCGCAGCCCCGACGCCTTTCATTTGGCCTCTGCGGCGGCGGCGGGGGAGGCAGTCCGACCTCCAGCGCTAAGTACTGCGCCAAGCAGGGCGGAGGAGGACGCGCCAGCCCCGTCGCAGCGCCGGAACCCCCGAGCCGCGCCCCCCAGCCCGGCTGCCCGCCTGAAGGCCGCGCTCCACCGGGGAGCCAGAGACACGGCGCTCGGGCGCGCTCGCCCGGTCCCTACCTCGATGTAGCCGGCCAGTGCCGCGGCGGGCGCCGTGAGTGCGAGCAGCAGCAGGACGAGGAGCTTGCCCCTGGCCGCGGCGGTGCCGGTGGCCGCCATCCCTCGTCGCGTTGCTCTCGCGCTAAAGCTCGCAAGCTGAAAACGCACGGACAGGTCTGCTGACCCCACCACCACCCAGAAGCATCTGAAGCCCGTTCGCCGCCGCCCCGGGGGTTTTACACCAACCGGAACTGACTTCAACCAGCCACGCCTCCTTCTGCGGAGTCCAATGCCAGCTCGCAGAACCCTTCAGGGCATCGCCCCTTGTTGAGCCCACAGCCAATGAAGGCATGGAACAGCCCGCACCGGGCCCGCCCCCGGCCGCCTTGCGCCGGCCCCGGGTGAGGACCCTGAGGTCCGGAGGCGCGCGGCTGTGCGCGGGGTGGGTCGGGGGGCGCGACTCGGCGGGGGTGGCACTGGCTCCGGCCTGGTGCCACCCCGCGCGCCTCTCCTCCCTGCGTTGGCCTGGGTGCGCCTGCGGCCTCCCAATGCGAGCACGCGCTCCCCCGCCTCTGCGGGATATTTTTTGTAGGATTCTTGCGGGTACCGCCCTCTTTTCGGTTCTGGAAACGGTTTTGGTCGGAACAGGATGACGCGTCGGGGGTGCGGGGTTCCGAAGGTCGCGTCTCCCCAACACCACCAACCAAGGCCGGAGAGTGAGGGAAGGACTAAGCCGGGACAGCCCTCGGCGTCCTGCGAGCCCCTCGCAGGGCGCGCCCCTCACCCGCGCTCCGCCCGCAGCCCCGCCGGTGCGCTCTCGGCCGCGATTCCAGGCTGCCGACCTCTGGTCCCTGTAGGCCTCAGCCCGGCGTTGCCTTGCCCGTGGCGCCCGCAGGCCAGGGCCAGCTGCCTCGGGAGGCCAGCGGGCGAGGACCACACTGGCCTCAAACACCAGGGCGTTTAGGGAGGATCGCGTTTCTTTCGCATCAGCAGCAGGAGCCCGGCTTTCCTCTGCCTCCTTCCTCCACTGCATACCCGCGGCTCTGGAAAAGCCTTGGGCTGTCCCGTGTCACAGCTGGCACCGCGAGGTTTGCTCTGCCAGTTTTGTTTCCTCTTGGGGATCTCTCATGTATGTTCCATCTCCTGCAGAAACCCACTCCCAGGAGACTGGCAAACAGGGAAGGACGAGGTCCACAGAGCGGACAGAGCTCTCCCCGACCGAATTCTGCACTGCTCCCTCCTGCCTTCCCAGCTCCCCGTGGCCACGCTGGCTCAGCCCTGTTCCCCTAACACAACAGGCGCCCTTCGGTGGTGGAGCCTTTCCTGACTCTTCCTGAACCTGCAAGCTCCTCTCCAATGTCTGGCGACTGGGATATCATTTTATGCACGCCTGGAGAGTCACGGGACTGCCTTTCTGGCTTCCAGGAGCCTTCAGAAAGTTCAGGGGGAAATCAAATCGTGCATACACTAAAAAAAGGAAAATTTGCACCAACATGAACTTCCAGTTTCATTTTTCCACAAGCTTTCTGAAGCACCGTTCTATTTCCATGCCTCTCTTGAACCGCTGACAGGACGTGGGAATGTCACATCGCAGTGCCCTCGGCCGGGAAACCTTGACCAATCAGTGACCAGTGTTACTGTACAGCTATCCTGGGTGCTGGTTCCGGTTCTGGGACTGCCAAGAATATAGCTGTTCTCACGGACTGAATAATGTCTGTTGTGGCTGTGTGAGGAAGGGCAAGTTCCTTCACCTCCTGAGACGTTTTTCTGCTCTGTCAAGGGTGGATGTTAAAATCTGTGATTCAGTGAAATATGAAAAGCACCACAGCGAAGAGCATGAAAAACCTTATATGCTGGAGGCAGGAGGAAGATATAGTGCACCTTATGAATACAGTACTGTGGCGTGGCCGGTAAAGCTGCTGCATTTCCAATCCAGCTCCCTCGGACAGGCAGTAGAAAGAACGTGTGCCCCTGGATACCCGAATGGAGTTCCAGGATCCTGGTTTTAGCCTGGCCCCGCCATTGTAGCGATGTGGGAAGTGAAATCAGCAGATGGAAACTATCTCTGTCTCTATCATCCTGCCTTTCACATAAATATGTAAACTTAAAGTTGCAGAGTCTATGAAAGTAGGGTCAAGTGACTGTGTAAGCTCCAGCTCTGTTGTGAAACCATGAGTGAGGCCCTCCTGGGTGTTTCCTCACCCTTAAAATCAGGAACTTAAACTGGGAGAACTCTAAATTTCTGAGAATCGAAATGTTACAGAAAAGCAAGTGAAATGTTTTGAGTTGAGAGCAGGGACCTGGCTCTCCATGCCTGAAGGATTCTGTAGCCTTGATGAAGATCTAACACGGTATGGGATGAGGAAAATTTGGAAAAGGCTTTACAGGGTCTTCAAGTACAATTAAATTCTGAAAAAAAAAAAAAAAAAACCATGGGCCCGGTGCAGTGGCGCAAGTGGTTAAAGGTCCTCGCCTTGCACGCCCGGGATCCCATATGGGCGCCGGCTCTATCCCGGCAGCCCCACTTCCCTTCCAGCTCCCTGCCTGTGGCCTGGGAAAGCAGTCGAGGCGGCCCAAAGCTTTGGGAACCTGCACCCGCGTGTCGGATACCTGGAAGAGGCTCCTGGCTTTGGATCGGCATAGTGTCGACCCGTTGCGCTCACTTGGGGAGTGAATTATCGGACGGAAGATCTTCCTCTCTGTCTCTCCTCTCTGTACATCCGCCTTTCCAATAACAAAATAATTCCAATAACAAAATAATAAAAATAAATCTTTAAAAAAAAAAAAAAAACTATTTGCATTTCAGCTCACCAAGGGATCACCAATACAAGTGGATTGCCATGCTCATCAGTGTTCTGGATGTTAAAATGCTATTTTATTGCATGACACTGTCAAGGGTATGTCTTCCAATTGTTGGTAATTTTTCAAGCCAGCTGCGTTCCTGCTGGTAACATGCAGGGTTGAGTGCTATGCTTTTCACACATGTGCATACACTTTTTGCACACTGTGCATTCGTGCATACAAAGCCGAGGGCCCTGGGGCCATCATGTGGTGCAGGAGCCTGCATCTCTACCTGAGGTGCTGACATCCCATATTCAAGCTCAGGTTCAATTCAAGTCCCACCTCTTACACTTCCAGACTTGCTTCCTGCCAATACACCTGGGAAAGGAATACAAAATGACTCAAGTGTTTTTGGGTTTGTACCAAGCACATGGGAGACATGAATGGAGTTCCAGACTTCTGATCTTTGCCTGACACAGTCCTTTGTAGCCCTTTGGGAAGTTAAAAGAAAAAGTCTCTCTTTGTGTCTCTGATTCTCTTTCTCTCTTTCTGTCTCTCCTTCTCTCTTTCAGTCTGCCTTTCAAATAAACAAATCTGTTTTAAAAGAGTACATTTGTTTGTTGGGGAAAAAAGAGCAGTTTGCTTCTTTTTTTCTTTTTTAAGATTTATTTTACTTTCATTGGAAAGTCAGATATACAGAGAGGAGAAGAGACAGCAAGGAAGATCTTCCATCTCTTGTTTCACTCCCCAAATGGTACATCAGCCAGAGCTGCATTGATCTGAAGCCAGGAGGCTGGAGCCTTTTCCAGGTCTCCCAGGTGGGTGCAGGGTCCCAAGGCTTTGGGCTGTCCTCATCTGCTTTCACAAGCCATAAGCAGGGAGCTGATTGGGAAATGGAGCTGCTGGACTTAGAACCGACGCCCATATGGGATCCTGGCACATGTGAGGCAAGAACTTTAGCTGCTAGACTACTGCACCAGGCCCCAAAAGAGTAGTTTATATGTTTCACTGTGTATGAACACAAACCGCATCCTCTTGTTTGTGGGGTAATCATTTATCCAACACCTTTTGGAGATTAGGTAAGCTGGGTTTGGATAATTGCTTCCAGATCAAGATGCAATGAGGACATCTTATATAAGATAAACTCTTAAACACCATTCTCAGAAATACTAAATCCAAAAGGCAGGAGACATCTAAGGGATCAGTACCTGGGACTGCCCGCATTTGCAGTATCTGCATCCTTGGATTTAATCAACCATGCACCAAAATATTCTTTAAAGAAAAAAAAAGACAAATGCACATATACAAACATTTTTCTTGCCAGAATTCTCTTCAAATGCAACATAATAACAATTTACACAGCATTTACATTGGATTGCATGTTGTACATAATCTAGAGATGATCTGAAATGTTCAGAAAATGTGTGTAGGTTATATGGGAACACTACACTATTCTGTACAAGACACTTGAGCACCAGTAGATTTTGGTACCTGCCAGGTGCCTGTGTACTCAGTACTGCACGTACTGAGAGACAACTGTGTTTTATTTTTTTAAAGCTCTCCAAGGAGAACTGTGTAATCCACAAGAATTCCTTGGAGACTTTTGAGCACAACTGCTGTAAAATAGTGGTTGCTCAATTTTTGTCTATTTTTAAAACTATTCATTTGTTAAAAATGTTTATCTCTTTTTTGAGGCAGGTGTTTGGCTCAGTGGTGAAGTTGCCACTTGGAAAGCCTGTATATGATCCAACTTCCTTGTAATGTACATCCAGAGAGGTAGCAGGTGTACTTGGGTCCCTGCCACGCTTATGAGAGACCCACAGAGAATTCTGGGCTCCTGGCTTCTGTCCAACCCAGACGTGGTTGTTATATGCATTTGGAAAATAAACCAGTATATAGATATATCCTTTTATCTCTACTTACTTCTCTGTTGCTTATCTTTCAAATAAAGTAAAATTAAAATTTTAAATTATTATTTTTTTAAAGATCTGTTTATTCATTTATTTATTGGAAAGGCAGATATACAGAGAGGAGGAGAGACAGAGAAGAAAAACTTCCGTCTGATGATTCACTCCCCAAGTGGCTGCAGCGGCCAGTGCTGCGCCAATTCAAAGCCAGGAGCCAGGAACTTCTTTCCGGGTCTCCCACGTGGGTGCAGGGTCCCAAGGCTTTGGGTCGTCCTCAACTGCTTTCCCAGGCCACAAGCAGGGAGCTGGATGGGAAGTGGAGCTGCCGGGATTAGAACTAGCACCCATATGGGATCCCCATGCTTTTAAGGCGAGGACCTTAACCATTATGCATTCGCGCTGGGCCCAAAATTTTTAATTATTTTAAAACTTTTAGCTATTATTTAACTCATACAATAAAATCATATTTACATAGTATTGTATAGTATTTTGATA